CACAGGGGTAGAGAGGATATCCACAGCAGGGTCAATCTCCCCGATGGAGTAGTGAATCACAGGGAAGATACAGCTGATGAGCCACAGGGACAGAATAATGATCCAGATACGGTCTGAGCGCCAGGCGGCCGGGCGCTGCAGGGGATAGAAGATGGCAACATAACGCTCCAGTGACATTGTGGCAAGAATTAAAGGTGTGTTCTGGAAGGTGGCAGTGGAAACAAACAACAGAGGAACACAGTAGACAATGGCAAATTTTACTCTGCCCATGACAAAGAGGAAGAGCAGCACAGAGAACAAAAGCTGGACAGTGTCATTGATCAGCATGTAGGCAAACAGGATGTAACGTGATGTGTCCAGGAACTGCCTGTGAGATGCAAAGATGTGCAGCATGACAATAATGCAGCAGAAGAAGACACAGAAGACGGGAATCACCACACACACCTTGATGATCACAGACAGGCTTCTGCTGGAAGTTGCATTGCCTGGATATTCAGTCAGATTCGGCATTTTGCAGCTATGCACTGAAGCAAACCTGTGAAAGATACAATGAGTGAAAAGTCCATACACACACTAAAACACATCCTCAAAATGCTTAATAACTGACTGTAAAACATAGCCTATACTATTGCCTTTCCCCAACTACTCTTTAAACAGATATTTTTGTATTGTGACTGAATACAAATCCAACATTCAGAATAAAAGAGTAACACTCACCTAAGAATGTCTTCATCAGTCAGAGGAGTTGACCAAGGTTTACATTTCTCTTCTTCTTATCATAAAACCTCAATGAACATCTGTGGGATGTCCTTCCCCTTATCTGAAGTGTTGGGCCCAACTCATATCTGTTTGACTTGATATGATCCCTCCAGAGATATGTTATTTACATACTGTCATCATACAGCATGATGTTTCTCATTAAGTAATAATTCAGGGGGGAGATGGGATCCTGTTTCAGTATCTGTGGCAGGAAGCTAATGAACTAGATAAGTTGTATGCATATGAGGCAAGCTACCACTTCACAGTGTGATTCATAAGAATAATCTGTTTTGATCAAAATGGCCGTTACAAAATCCAGGTTGTAAAGTATAAATTGTTTAAATGCATTTTACAAGTATGTTACAAAGTACTTTGTGGCCATTTGTGTTGTGCTGTGATGCGCTGCTCTGCTCACATTAAACATAGGCCTATTAATGATGTTATACTGGCAGACAGAGAAGAGGAAGGAGAGCAGCGCGACTGCAGTGTGCCCACTAATGAAAATACCTTGTGAAAATAATGTGTAACGTTGTGCATTAAGCCATTATCACACAAATCATGGCTACACGATGACTACACATTAAATTAACAATTTATTACAAGGCTGAGAAACTCGTAAAACAAACTTCAACATTTCATCATAAGTTGAACATGTACAACAGGTTGCAGTCAAGTTGCTCTCTGTCCTCTCGTCCGTCTCTTCCTCCATCCCAAATAGTTTGTCCGAGCCTTCTACACAAGGCATGATGGGATGTATTGCTGGGTTAGTGACCATCGGTTGTACACTACTTTTTTACAATGCATTGTGGGATATCTTGAATCCACTATAGGGATAATAATTCCCACTATACATTCGGACTGCAGTACAAAATGACAAAATTACTGTATAGTGGACTATGTAGTGAGTAATGAAGGATTTTAGTACTCATGACACAGATACAGGAAATGAATCTTAAGTGGGCCGTCTTGGTTTATCAGTGGTCTCTGACATCACTCACCAGCGGGGGCATTTATTGGTCCTGTGCGGCGCAGTGCATTCTGGTAGTTGTGGGTTTTCTACTGATAATTTAAGACCATTTTAAAAGTATTTGTGCTTCTCTACTGCATAGACAGTCGAGTTTTATGAAAATACATATATATAAAATATATATATATAAAATATATATATACATATATTCAGCCACTAGGATGCAGAAAACCTCCTAAACAGCCTTAACACATTATCACCTCATAGAGGAACGCGAATATGTTAGCAAATGCTCAGCAGACAAGGACTAACACTATCATCCCACTTAAGTCATGTTGCTGTCCTCCTGAGGAAGGTAAGCTCAATAAAAAGTTAGGACAATTCCAAGGGCCCCTGACTGACAGGGGCCCCAAAATTAGGTAAAAATTATTATTAAATTATTAAACCATCATCATTAAGATTTTTTTTTCAAATATAGTAATTAAATTAATGATCTCTTTGTTTTTACTTGTTTTTGGCAGTGAAAGTTAAATATCCCCATTGACCAACTAAACATCCATATTGACTGACCACCCCCCTGTATCTGCATGAAATGATTTGGTCCTGCCTTAGCGCACTGACGGTGACGGTGTCGCGCTCGAACGCTACAGTTATCATCATGCTACCTAGTCCTGAAAGAAAATCCGGTTTTCACAAAAGGAAAGAGAGAAAGGAGAGAGAGGAGAGGCAAAAGAAAGGGTGTCAATATGTGATCCAGTTTTTCTCCAAGAAAGGTGGGTAGTCTATAGTCTGTGAGTGTTAGAAATGAACCTGTTATCTTAATGTCCATATTGAAATAAGCTAGCTACAGACTAGTGTTAGCCTACACTTCATTCCTTTTTAACTTACATTTAATCAGTGCAGGTAAATGTTTAGCAAGATATTCATATTAAATCAGTTGTCCCTGCCCCTTTTACCAGACTCAACAACAGATGAGTCAGAAGCAGCAGCCCTGTCTCCCCATAACTTTACCCCTCCCCGTCCCAATGAAGAAGGTGAGCAACATTGTGTTGAATGACATGCCAGTTAGCATCATTGCAGGGAGTCTGTGGGAATTTCTCTCTTTCTCTTGCTCTTTTTTTTACCATTACAAAAAAGTAAACAAAATATTTTTTAATGACAGAAATTCAAACAAATCATTTTCCCACATAATGATTATTATGAAACAAAAACAGCCTACAGCTGTCTGTACTGGATGCTGGACAGCTGGAAACATTAAGTAGTCTAACTCAGCCTGTATTAAAGGTACAGGCAATATTCATTTAGATTGAATTATGGCCATTGAATGACATCTATAGATACAGACTTAAGAAAAATCTGCTGTTTTAATTATTTTGAGATGATGATCTTAATTCACTTTGATTGGAAAGTTAATGTATATTCAAGTTACTTTTTTAGGTCTTTAGTTAATGTTAAGATAATTTTTCATTTTGGGATTTTTCAATAAAAATTACATTTAGACTGTAAAAGATGGCCTTTAGCACATTTTTTATGGCGGCTTGTAATCTTGCATCAAATAGTGAATTGCATACTGTATNCAGCTGAAAGCCGTGTAGCAGCACAGTGTGCATGGCTTTGTTCACAGACACTTTATCTTGTCTCATTTTCCTGGTTTCCAGCAGGATTCTCACATATGTAAAGATGATGACAACAGCTACTACTGCAAAGAAGAGAATATTTTTATCAGCTTGTAACATTTCCTGGATTGGAGATGAGTTGATTATGTTAGATTTGCAATTCACAGGGGTAGAGAGGATATCCACAGCAGGTTCTTTTTTCCCTATTGAGTAGTGAATCACAGGGAAGATACAGCTGATGAGCCACAGGGACAGAATAATGATCCAGATACGGTCTGAGCGCCAGGCGGCCGGGCGCTGCAGGGGATAGAAGATGGCAACATAACGCTCCAGTGACATTGTGGCAAGAATTAAAGGTGTGTTCTGGAAGGTGGCAGTGGAAACAAACAACAGAGGAACACAGTAGACAATGGCAAATTTTACTCTGCCCATGACAAAGAGGAAGAGCAGCACAGAGAACAAAAGCTGGACAGTGTCATTGATCAGCATGTAGGCAAACAGGATGTAACGTGATGTGTCCAGGAACTGCCTGTGAGATGCAAAGATGTGCAGCATGACAATAATTCAGCAGAAGAAGACACAGAAGTTGGGTATCACCACACACACCTTGATGATCACAGACAGGCTTCTGCTGGAAGTTGCATTGCCTGGATATTCAGTCAGATTCGGCATTTTGCAGCTATGTACTGAAGCAAACCTGTGAAAGATGCAATGAGTGAAAAGTCCATACACACACTAATACACATCCTCAAAATGCTGAATAACTGACAGTAAAACAACACACATAGCCTATACTATTCTGTCTTTCCTCATAACAGAGTATTTGAACTGTGACTGATACAATCCAACATCCAGAATAAAGAGTTACACTCACGACTCACCTACAGATATCTTCATCAGTCAGAGGAGTTGACCAAGCATTAGATTTCTCCTCTTCTTATCAGTGAACATCCGTGGGATGTTCTTCCTCTTATCTGAAGCGTTCAGCCCAGTTCAGATCTGTTTGACTTGACACGATCCCTCCAGAGATACATTGTTTACATGACATCGTCATACAGCATGATGTTTCTCATTAATAGATATTTCAGTGGGGAGATGGGATCCTGTTGTGGAGGAACGCAACTAGATTAACTAGATTCATCACATAATTATATTTGTAATATACCTTTTTAAGCAGGCTACCACTTCGCAATGTCAGAATAACCCGTTTAGATAAATGTGGTTAGAAGAAAACCAAAGCAAACTTATAAACCAGGCAAACCCCATTTTAATTCTTTATTTTTGGCTAACATCTTGCTATCCAATGTTTTTGTAAAATCACACAGTTTATATTGAGCACCCAGCCTCAAAGTGACTGCTTATGCTCCTTTCTCTATTTACTCCAAATTAATAACCATGGTTGACACAATATTTACTATTAGAGAATGCCGATAGTCCACAATATCATCAATACGTGAGTAATGAGAAATGCGTGCAGCTCAATTGCCATTCGCCAGAGAACAACAGAATTGGCAGGCCCGACAATGGCGCCCCGTTCTCTTCACAGATGAGAGCAGGTTCACACTGAGCACATGTGAGAGGCTTGAAAGAGTCTGGAGATGCCATGGTGACCGTTATGCTACCTGTAACATCATCCAGCATGACTGGTTTAGCGGTGGGTTGGTGATGGTCTTTGGAGGCATATCCTTGGAGGGTCGAGCAGTCCTCCATATCATAGCCAACAGTACCCTGACTGCAGTTAGGTACCGGGATGAAGTCCTCAGAGTGATTTTCAGATCTTGTGGACCCTGGTGCAGTGGGACCTGGGTTCCTCCTGGTGCAGGACAATGTCATGTGGATAGAGTGTGTAGGCAGTTCCTGTATGATGAAGACACTGATGTCATTGACTGGCCCTCCCATTCCCCTGACCTAAATCCAATTGAGCACCAATGGATATTGGTGCATCCAATGCTGCCAAGTGCCGCCACAGACTGTCCGGGAACTTGCTGAAGCCCTGATCCAGGTCTGGGAGGATATCCCCCAGGACACCATCTGCCAACTCATCAGAAGCATGCCCAGATGTTGTCAGGAGTGCATACAGGCATGCTTGGGGCATACACACTACTGAGACACATTATGAGTCACAAGTTGGATCAGCCTGTAATTTCATTTCTTTACTTTGATTTTTGTTTGATCTTGAATGCAGCCATCAGTGGGTTGATGATTTTGGTTTCCATTGACCGTTGTTAGGTTATTTTGTTCTCAAAAAATTATACACTGTACATCAGTAAAGATTTTCAACTTGAATAATTCGTTCATCAAGATCTGATGTGTGATTTAAGTGTTCCCTAAAAATATTCTGAGTAGCTGTTGGGGGTGGTGTGTGTCTTCCTCAAGCTCAGGTCGTCTACCAGAGGCCTGGGAGTTTGATGGCTCTACGAAGTATTTTAGCTGTTCCTCAGACTGCACTCTTCTGG